AACAGCTCTGGGAACGATCTCAGAAACGTCTCCAGAAGTGGTTCTTAGCGCGTTCAAAGAAGCTTTTGCGCGATTCTGAGCATACTTCTGAACTTTTCGAGTTTCGAGGCTCGATCTCGAATCGATTCGGTCCCAGAAGTTATATAATCGATTGGCTCAATGTCGATACCGGGAACCGAGAATCGATCTCGAATCGATTCTCTCGATTCAAGGGCGCCGGTTCGATCCAAGGCACCGGCATTTTTATGTATTTTCTATTTGAAAAGTTGCGCACAATGAAACCACTGAAACCCAAACCCGTGACATACAGCCTATAAGTTTTGAGTTACTGCTACAAATAGTTGAGCCGCTATAGTGTAGCGCTGCTAATTGTTGTTGAAATAGTAGCCAAGCTGCATGGCCGGCGGCCGTTAGCCGCCGTGTCACGGCGCATTTCGCGCCGTTCATCGTTAAACGAAGCACTGCTTCGGAAGCACATAGCCTAGAAGTTTTCCTGCGTATACCATCTGATTTCGTTTGTCGTAGCACAACGTACCATTCGCTTTCTCATGCCTACATCGAATGCAGCAACGCCGCGAGGTCAGGGTTCCGGATTCTTTCCACCCGGTATTGGAGGTGGCTTCTCTGGTGGCAGAAAGCGTCGCAGGATTGAAACTGGGATAGCACCCATTATGGATCTGTCTTCTGAGCACAGCTCTCCTGAAGCGCACTCTTGCTCTCGTGGTGTTCTTCGACGCTCTTTTGGTGCTCCTTCTCGCTCCTCTGGTGCTCCTCCTCGCTTCTCTGGTACTCCTTCTCGCCCTCTGGTGCTCTCCTCGCTTCTCTGCTACTCCTTCTCGCCCCTCTGGTGCTCCTCTTCGCTTCTCTGGTACTCCTTCTCGCCCCTCTGGTGCTCCTCCTCGCTTCTCTGCTACTCCTTCTCGCCCCTCTGGTGCTCCTCCTGGCTCCTCTAGTGCTCCTTCTCGCCCCTCTGGTGCTCCTCTTCGCTTCTCTGGTACTCCTTCTCGCCCCTCTGGTGCTCCTCCTCGCTTCTCTGCTACTCCTTCTCGCCCCTCTGGTGCTCCTCCTGGCTCCTCTGGTGCTCCTTCTCGCCCCTCTGGTGCTCGTTGTCGCTCTTCTGGTACTCCCTCTCGCTCCGGTGATTCTCCTCCTCGCTCCTCTGGTACTCTCTCCCGCCCCTCTCAGATCTCAGCAAGAACTGTTGAGGCTCCACCTGATGCCTACGCTGAACCGCCGTGCAAGTCTAAGCTAGATTACGAGAAATACGACACTTGCCCCAAAGAAAATCGCCGCTCAAAGCCAAGCAGGGTGTGGGAGCAGTTTCATGTCATTCGGTGCAAGCGAACTGGGTTTGTCTACCCAGAGCGCGCGGTCTGCAAGAAATGTGGACAGGTTTACTCTATGAGGAAGCAAAATACTTCGGCGCTTCTATGCCATATCGACAACGGATGCGACGAACAAAGGGATCAGCCACCAATAGCATCGTACTTTTACCAGAAACGGAAGGTCAATTCCAATCAGAAATCTGCTGTGAATGCGGCGTTGGTTGATCTGCTGGCATGCGTGCCTGGTATAAGCTTCAACGGAACCCAGATAGCAGCATTCAAGAAATTCGTTGAGGTCGCGGCTCAGGTGGGGGCAGAAAATAGGTCGGGCTTCGATGCATCGCAAGTCTTATTTTGCCCCAAGACTCTTACTGACGACATGTTGAAGAAAGGGGCGGACGCCACAGAGAAGATTAAGAACCACCTAGCTCAGCAGCCAAAGCCAATAATGGTAGTACGGGAAAAGGTCAGCAGGGGATCGGTATTGGGAAGGCGGACTAACGGAGGTATCTGTCAGCCTTGCAATCTGCGAGTTGTAGATACTTTTCGACGGCTGGACCAGCCACCATAAGCACGAGAATGTGCTTGGAGTCACCACACTTTTGAATGTTAACGACGTGCAGCGGAGCGTTCTTCTGGCACTGGAGACACCAGAGACCATGACCGCTGATGACATTCAGGAAAGCTTGGAACGGGTAATCTCAACGTTAGCGACTAATGGTTAGTCCATAAATATCGACTCTATATTTTTGGACTAACCGCCAGTTAGTCCATTCATCGACTCGATAATATCGAGGAGCAATGGATCACTGAAGCTCAGTGAACAGTATTAATGTTTTCAGGTATGTTCTAGATATCAAATCCCGATAGAAAAGGTGCTATTTGCCAGTGATAGCTGTTCGGCGAATACGGCGGCTCTCGGGCAAGGCAATATGGCCTCCGTGTGCTGTTTTGCACATATGGTGCAAAACGCCCTGAAGGCCGGGATGACACACCCTGTGGACAATGCGATAGACAACTGCGAGGATGCGCTACGCAGCATGAACACTGGAGAGACTCTTGAAGCTTTTCTCGAGGAGCAGGCAACGGCTCCGGTCGAGTCGGTTCTTCTGACAAGCTCGCGCCTCGTTGCGTACTTCAAGAGGTCGAAGCTGAATGGCAAGCTAGCACGTCTTGGATACAACAAGTAATAGAGTCGCTGTGTATGTTTCAACGGTCAGATCAGGCTAAAGCGAAGGAGCACAGTTCGCTGGGACTCTGTTTATGAGATGATCGATAAGATAATTAAGAGCTGGTCGGGTATTGAAGAACTTCTCAGAGAAAAGAATAAAACGAGGTGATACCTTAAGTCAGCTTAGTAAGATCCAAGCTTAGAAAGCGTCCAGCTGTTCTAGGCCAAAACTAACCAGTAGTGTTAACTTTATTGCGCTCAGGAACTTCCAGAACTTGCTTTCGAACAAAGAGCTATTGATTCAAATTCGTAGCTTCTTAATCCCTTTTCGCATAGCGACCAAAGTTATGCAAGGGAGGAAGCCGGGAACGGCAGTAAAATCCATTGTGTGAGTCAAACGGAGTGGTTCATTTTCTTCGCCTTGAAGTAGTCTGTGAATCCTCAGGAAGCTTGAGCGGTGCTGGATATTCCTTCAAACTTCTCCTCCTGGAGAATTTGAGGATTTGCAAATGGTACGCAGTAACGTCAAAGAGCAGTTCTTCCTGAAGGTACCTCGGAATGGACACGTAGTTTCCGATTGGATCTCTCGATTGCAGGTCATATGTAACCTTACCCCAGACGCTTTGCTCCCTGCAATGTTGCACCCTGCAACGAAGGTCAGAGGTGTAGAGAAGCTAAAAATGGTTACTGAGTATAGAAGACGTATCAAGGGTGAAGAGTCTATTCTCCGCCGTGAGGACTTAATCGAAGCGCTAAAAGGATGGTCGCTCATCACCGAGAACAGCAACGAAAACAATATACACACTAATCATAGTACTAGCGAGAATGATGCTGCTGAAGCTAATATGCTAGAACAAGTGGTCGAAATTGCTGACGACAGCCTCCTGCAAGGATTGATTGACGTGAAAGACTTGCCTAGGTGGAGTGAGAGGGGTAGGGACAGAACAGCTGATGAAAAAGCCCTGCTGATCGATAAAGAAGTTAAGCAATGGGCTAAATTGGGTGGGCATTGTGAAGACTATGAGACCTTTTGGAATACTGCTAAGCTGGATTATCCCTATCTTGCTCGCACGGCAACGGTGGCACGCGGGGTGGTTATATCAACGGCATGTGTGGAGAGTCTGTTCTCCGAGATCCGGGATATCATAGGTGATAAGCGCACCAGAATGAGAATGGAGGTTGTTGAAGCACTTCTCAAAACTCGTCACACATACAGATTGTGGGACAATGACAAGTAGATGTGAGAAACTCACAATGTGAGTCTCACATGCTTCGGTGATAATTATTATGCAATTCTGAGGCTGATTCCACAACTACAAGCTTTCAGTGTTTGATTTCGCTGTCGAGGTGCATCAGGCGACCCTACTTCTAGCCTTACTTGAAACCTAATGTCTATGGGGTTGATGAACATAAATGTCGAATATGAGTTGATTAAATCGATGGTATGTAAATCATACTAAGCGGTGTCATCAAATGTCATACTCTTCTATTTGATAGAATCTATTGTGTCTTTGACCTTTCGATTAAATCATTCATTTTGCATATGCAATTAACTCATCGACTACATGCTATCTACACTCTTTATAGGGCGCTGAGTTCAAGAGTGGCAAGACAGTAAGGGTACCAGTGCATGACAGGCACTGCCTGTGGCTATCAACTGAGCGGTCTAGCCTCGACCCTTATTTTTTTTTCGCGCGCTACGCGCGCGTGGATGTGCTCTGCGGCAGCCGTCCTAAATTGTTGTCGAACTAAGCCTCAATGCCGACGTAAAAGAACATTTCAATGGATTTTGAGTTTCGAGGCGGATCGATTTCTCGAATCGAATCGATTCGTGCGCCCGCCGTAGCATCCTCGATTGATTAGCACCGAACAATCGATCGATTTTCGATATCTCGATCCAATCGAGCCTCGGTCCGATGTATGATTCTGAGAGTGGTTCCAGAATCGCACATTCCAGTAGCTCTGAAAATTTCGTGGCGCGTGATAGGGGCTTCATAAAGAAGAGCACCGAGTGGAGAAATCTCGGCTAAATACATTTTTCTAAGGAAAAGTGCAAAAAACTAAGGAAAGCATCGCGCTCGCCCGTTTTTTAGCAGATTCCTAAGGAAGAGTGCAGATTTCCAAGGAAGGAGCGCGTCTAAGGAAAAGTGCAGATTTCTAAGGAAATATCGAATTGATCCTTAACTCTAGAAAAAGGTCATAACTTGGCGTAGGATGCCAGCTTAGCCTTGAGGTACAGTTTGGCCTTGGGTTACGCTCCGGCCTTGGAGAACTGTAGGGTATATGTACCATTCAATGCAGCTCAGAAATCTTGCTCCCTTATGCTATTGCCAATTCGACTCGCTCACAGACTCGCTCGCCGACGGTTTCACAAGATCGACGGTTACATGGAGAGACTTACCCTGCTTAAGATTGATACTATGAATGCCAGTGTCTATTGATTCAATGATACTGATCTGCCTCATTGCAGTGTGTAATCTCGTACTCAATAGTCTCCTCTTCCCATGGACAAGCCTGCGGATTTGCGTCTATCGAGTGGTGAAGATCTTGAGCCTCAGCCTAAGCCTACACGGCCCGCTACAGTATTGAGTACCGTTATACCACCGTCCGGTAGCACGTCTCAACACGCCACCATGGACTCTAACAGGACTATCCATGAAGCTGGAGGGACCTTCTATGCTGGGCCTCCAAATGATGACCCAAGGGTCACTTCGCAGTCAAGTCCTAATATCGAGCACAAGGCCAAGAGCCCGACTCTGGAAGATACTTACTCTACCTACCGCGCCATCATTGGCTCCGATGGGTCGTGGATCCACGACACTAACTACTCTGATTACACGGAAGGTGCGTCTGACGTAACTCGTATCCTCGTAGGCGCCACGAAGATGGTAGCCGGATTCCCTGCATCGTCGGCGTTGGACAACCCTGCCTCTGTGGTGATATTGGCATTTAAAATGCAAGCTTGGTACCCTCAACTACACCGATGGTATGGTTCATTGAAGGGTCTTTATGACGGCTTTCCTGACATCGCGTCTTTTCTGGATCAATATGACATTACTGAAGGACTTCGGCAACTCGCCAGGTTGGTCGCTAATGAAGGTTGGGGCCCAACCGTAATGGCTGCTCTGATCTGCGAACACGCATGCCGCAAACCTGAGTCGTCGAGGAGCCGATCGATCGCGTTTACTCTATACTCCCTCCTATCGGCGGATAACGAAGACGAATTGGTCCAGGGTTTGAGGAAATCAGCATCCCCCGCCGACCAAGTCCGGTATGTGAGCATCCAGGACATGTCCAGTATCAGGAGCAAGCACTATGCGAGGATCCTAAGTGTTGACGAGCGCGATGGCCCGATGTGGAAACTATGCCTACATACCTCCCTCGCCTCACTGCAAGCTGCGGAATACACTCCCCTTAATGTCGAAGATCTACGTTATCGCTGGTCATCTATCTCACAGAAGAAAGATGAGTACATCGTGGACTACGCGGCGCGAGAGTCGGCTAAGTATGAGAACTATGCCAAAGCTCTGATGCACCTGGGCATAACAGCCCCTTCTCCCTACGAAAGATTGGTCTCTTTCGCCTCACGACTTCAACCAAACATGAAGACTCTCCTAGGTAAGCATATGCGATCCAAAGACCTGACCCTGTATGCCTCTGATTATGATTACATCTGCCGCACTCTGATTAAATTGGAGAAGACCTACTATGTGACCTATGAATTCGAGACGCATGGTATCAAGACGACACGCAAACCCGATGACTGGATTCCGGTTATCCAAACCACCAAGCCTCTCTCTGGTGCATCAGATGGCCCATATAAAGGCAAACCTAAGCATGACTGTCCTCATTGTGGAAAAAAGGGAGTTCGCCATCCGCCTGACCTATGTTACTCTAATCCCTCTGGGAAAACTATGGACGGCCACAAAGACAAGGCTACTGATACCTCTAGGAATGCTGCTTCTCGCACTATCTCTGCGGCGCAAAGCTCTGCCGTTCCACAACCCGAAACTGCGGTGCCTCAGTTCATGGTTTTGCACTCCGGAAGCAATATGTCGGTTGAGGACAAACTCCATGTGCCGTGTGCCTCCGTTTGGTTGCTGAAAGCGAGAGGATGCAAAGTTGTCATGGGCATCGACTCCTCCTCTGAAGTTACTATGGTGGATCGAAAAGTGGTGTCAACTCTCGCTAGTCCTGGCGCATCCCTAGAAACTAGAGAAGTGAGGAAGAGGACATGTCGAGCGGCGTGTGGCAGCCTATTCACCATCTCGCAAGATTATCTACTTCGGCGGATACTTATGATGTACTTATCCGCATTTCCGCGAGTTAGGGACGAGATAAGGCAAACTGATTGGGCCTCACCGCAATCTCAAATGAGTCCTTGAGGACGTGGGTTAGTGGAACGAACTGACGCCCTTGCTCACCTTGCTCGAAAAAACTAACGTTAGATCATAAATGTTCCCAAATTGAGGGCGAGTCCGAGGGGCTTGAGTAAAGTTTGCTCAGTAAACTAACCGGTTCTCATCCTTGAGTGAGACTATCTTATCTTAGGTTCTCGAGTTCTTTACCGTTTGAAGGTAGCCTACCTTTAAACGGTAAAGAACTCGAAAACCCCTTTTACTTACCTACCTTAGCTAGGTAAGTAGAAGGGGTCTCGATTAAACACGGTCTTGCAATTGCTCGCTGATAAAAGATTTGCACCGTCAATTACCAGTCGACATTCGCAGATTTTGTGAAATCCTTGAGAAAATACATGCATACTGCGATGATTATAATATGATCTATGCGCTATTATGATGATCCTTGTGCTCTCAAGGTCTCGTGTACTGTTGCCGTCATACATGAAGCTGATAAAGATGATTGAATGTCACCCAAAACGCAGTTTTGGAAAAAATTGAGAAATATTTCAAATTTTTCAGAAAATTTCTGAGAAATTCAGTAATATCTCAGGTGAAATATTTCACGGTCTGGCGGCACCTTACTTCAGCCACCCTGCTCCCCTCCACGAGGCGGCCAATACATCACCCTTCAAGTGGACGGACGAGTGTATCGCAGCCCAACAGAGCCTCTTGTATCACCTTGACAATGCTCCGAGGGCCTACTTAGCCTATGAAGACATCCTCAACATGGACAATGCTGAGGCTTCCTTATGTATTACTACGGACGCCAGCCAGATCGGTATTGGAGCTCACTTATGGTATGTTCGTAAACCGGCAAGGGAGGTTTCGATACCTGCGAGTTGGAGGATTGGCCTACCTGATCAGTGCCCACAGCGCCCTACTTGATCAAAGCCAACAACAATGGCATGTATTTGAAAAGGAGAGCTATGCAATTTTTCAAGCCTTCGCAAAGTGGAGAGCATTAATCATCAGTGTTAGTCGACTGTCACGAAGTGGCGATGAACCATCGGTGGTGCTATTTAGCGACTCTACAGTGGCACTGGCCAAGTTCATGAACAACAATGACGAGGATCTGTTCTCCGGTAAGACTGCTATAAAAGCCCGCCGATTTCGGGCATGGCAAATGGAGATGTCCGAGTTCGACTACGTCAACATCAGGATGGCACATGTTCCAGGAGTATGTAACGTCCTATCCGACCTCTTCAGTAGATGTGCAGAACGTCTTGAACAAAGCCACATGACCCCTGTCGATGAAATGGCGAACGAGGCTCCCACAATGCCAATCTATTTGCCTACTTATGGAGAAGCACAAGAGGAGGACGGCGACAATACTGTCGGTCACATCTACACTGGCGCTATCTATGACTATGAACTTTCACACCTGGCTATGACACCGTCCCAGGCCGAGATCATCGCGGATTCCTATGCGGTTGATGAAACCATGTATCTGTCAGTCCGACTCAAGGCAGTCTGGGCCGCAGCTAATGGATTGCTGGACTCAGAGACCTACTCGGACATCACCAGCGTGGAGAAGGCCAAGGCAGTGGCATGGATTGAAGCTCGCAAGTTTATCACGTCTCTGATCTGTAAGGAGAATGGCGCTATGGGCCTCTTTACACAGAGTACCAACAGGGAGCAAGACTTGCGGAAGCTCCCATGGGTGCTGGTGATACCTGGCCCTGCAGTATTTGTTAACGAGTTAAGGCTGGTTACGGCGTACGATCCTCAACAACAACTACAGTCTGCTCGCCAAGGTCTGCTGCTCTATGCCCACGATTGCAAAATTCACGTACCCTATGACAGAGCGCTACGCGTTCTCCAAGCTATTGCCTGGTGGCCTGGTATGGGAAGCGACCTTCTAACGCACATAAATGACTCTGATTTGTGCTTACGGCTTTATCCTTCGAAGCATCTACCATATCGCGGTGTGACTTCCTGTGAAACTATCGCCGTCTCTCCCTGTCACCTGGAGGTGAGGCGTGAGGAAGTGGACCGTACCCGAGCCACTCCGGCGGTTGAGGGCACTGTGGACCCTGCTAAGCTAAAGGAAGGAGATTGTGTACTGGTTCGTTTGGTAACGGGTGCTGATGTTCTGGGCTTGTATGCGTGGCCTAGTGTAGACAGGGTTTGCCCTTTGGGCACGGGCGGAAATTTCCGAAGGAAATTTTCGAGAAAATTTCAGAAATTTCCGTTGAGGCTGGAAATTCTTGGAAATTTGCTAAAAATTCCCAAAAAATCGTGCCCAGGGTAGTAGAGAGGAGAGAAGTAGTTCAGATTCACTCATAATGGCCGAATAAAGCTAGTGAAGGCGTTCGCAGGTGTCTACTGGTCACTATGAATACATCTTGCGGTTACCCTCAGTCTGAGGGCCTCAGATATCGATCAGGTGGGCGTGCGCGTGAGCCTCTCAAGAGTTAGCGATTCTCCAACTATCTTGCAATCTTGCGTTCTCTCTCTCGAGAGTCGAATAGTGTCGGCAATTAAAAGGTAAATCGTAAGGCTACAGGGTACGATCTAAGGACAAAATCTCGCTCGCCCTCAGACACTTTCTAAGGAAAATTTTGCCATTTTCTAAGGAACTTCAGCCTTTTCCTAAGGTACTTCTGCCTTTTTCTAAGGAAGCCACCTCTCCACTAATGGGTCCTTCCGGCCTTGTTTTGCAGCTTCGCCTTGGATAACAGTCTTGCCTTGGATAACAGCTCGGGTTTCGGGTTGCCCTGGATAACAGTTCGGGTTTCGGGTTGCCCTATCCGGTTTCGGGTGGGGTTTCGGGCTTCCCTTCCCCCGCTTTCACCTACAATCCTTTTTTTTCTTTTTGGTTTTGCGGTTTGGGTTTTGCCTTGCTGTTAAGGGATCTGGGTTGCTTATCTTTCACTGGTGACCCAACTCCCTCGTACGTTTAGAAATCTGTTAGTGATCACGAAGTTTCTCGTGATAATGTGTTGCTCTGCAACGTAGCTGCCCATAGCCACCTCGACCTTCCTTGCGGGTTTGATCTGCCAAGCTGAATCACGAAGACCCCTTCCACTAACGCAACGTTTCTTAAGCCCTCTCAGGACGCTTACTCCTCGCCTGCCTGGAGCTCGCGGCAGCGGAATTCAGTTAGATACGTCATCACGTAGATAAGTACACCGAGGGGTACTTAGAAAGGCCAATCGGCGGCTACCGTGCTGCCAGCACGTTTAAGTGAAAAATGGGCGAGCGAGATTGTTCCCTTGGAAATGGAGATCTTCCTTAGATTTTACCTTTTCACCTAGGAATACGTTGAGAGAGTCCAATCCCACCTTAGAGTGCAAGAAGTACACGTACGCGCATGATGAAGTCCTCAAGGGTCAAACCAAACTACTTGGTAGTTGCTAAGGCCGCCTTGGTGAATAGTGCATGCCCTTCGATCCCCTATCCGGGCTGTCCGTCCTTGGTGTAGCCAAGGCTGCAGTCATTCCTCTCAAACTGGCTTGTGCTGGAGGTAGACCCCACGATCTCTGTTATTTATGATAACTCTCCTTAAGGTGCTTCTAGTGGTACCCATGCTGTCCCTGTAGTAGCTGCTGCTACCCACCTCCTTGAGCCCTCTAGCCTCGCTGTAAAGGCATCAGCCATGCTGGGTAAGTGAGCCTTCCTCTACACCAACCAATAGATCCATCGTAGGTAGCAAGACAGGAGCAGCAGCAGCTACTGGCACTGTGGCTCCCCAAGGTCAATCCATCATCGACTCGGGGCAGGATCATCCCTTCTGGTGGCGAGTCACCCATGAGGTCCGCTAAACCGTCACGATATTCTACGAACCCCACCTGAATGCCCTCAGGGTCATGGCCTTACCAATGAACAGCTCCAACACCCCGAAGTGATGGGCATTACAGCAGAAGATGGTAAGCTGATCTGCCCGACTACTAAGTGGCTATATGATTGCTATTGCCAGTACCAGTGAGCGCAGTACCCGACCCTTATGCTATGTCCACGAAGGCTACAGGGAGCCTACTCGGGCCATGGCACCATAATGATATCCCCCAGCATAGTATCAAACCCAGCACTGATATGAACCAAGTCATACAGCAGGCCAATGAGGTTGACTATGGCCATCTCACACAAGGAGAGCGGCTCGCCTCTCAGTTGAAGGCAGACTTGATGAAGAACCCGAAGTTCTCTAATCCCATGAAGATGTACCAAGACATGGCTGCTGAGTTGAAAGCCCACGTAGGGTCCACTTCTAGCCTGGCTACTCACAGTCACCTTTAGTATCCCCATTTCGGTACCATCACCACTAAGGAGAGCTCTTTCCTGCTGGCTCCAGGTGAGCAGCAGCAACCTCTTTCTATACCACACCTTGTCGTCATCATCAGCAACTGCCTCACTATTGCCGACTTATAATGGTAGAGTCCCGCTAGACTTCCTCGACACTGTAGCAGCAGATGATGGCGAGGAAGTGACCATCATCTCTTCAGTGTTGCAAGGTAGGACCCTCTATACTGTAGAGTAAACCATTTTCCGGAGCTTGGTTTCCGAGATGGATTCAATTCCGAAGTTACGGCTGTTATAGGCTACGATGAAAACATATCATCTTACTACATTAGGATTGCTAATCTATCGTTTACTACGTAAGCAGTTGGCACTCGAACTATATCAAAAGTTCCACAACTAACTTCCATTTTCACAACTAAGAAGGTCCACTCGTAGGTACCGCTAAGGCCATCAGCGGCTTCTGCCGCGGCTACGCTAGTTCGTGGAGAAGTATGTCGACAGTGATGGTTGAGATCATAGCGTGATGATGATGTATTCCCAATAACGATTGCTTGGCTCTCCTTGGTGTTATCAACGACTACGTGATGATTATTTCTACTGCGTATTATACTCGTGTTCAAGTGACGCCAACCCCCGTTGAGAGCCCTTACGTAATGCCAGTAGACCCCATCACGGGCTCAGCTCTGGCGGTGAAGGCCTTGTGCGTTCTGCCACTCAAAGTGGCAGCAGTTGGTGGCGGATGTAACCTCTCTACTACACTTACGTACTACTACTAGTGACTATTCAGACCATACTGCTGCTACAGCTGTTGTAGCCGCGGCTCCCACCCCAGAGATTACTAGCTTCGGTGCTTATGGTCCTCCTGAGATCACCACCATGCAGCCCACGGTCCAATTGAACCCCGCTGGAGCACCGCTGCGTAAGCTGAATTGGAATATTCAATAATATTTTTTATCGTTTCAGCTACTGTTGACGTACCGCCCCCGCCCGAACTGACATTTCCTCCTGACGTGTTCACTAACATTGAAGGACTCGTCAACTCTATCACGGTCAGTTACAGCAGCCTAGTGGTGTGATTCTGGGTATCTCCATGTCAGCTTCCTGATCCGACTACCTTCACCGCGGGAGCTCCAGGGACATACCATGAGTTCCCAGGGCCCATCGACATCAGCAGTAGCACACCTCCCCAAACTGTCATCATGGAGTCTCTTTGTCGTCTTTTTAGCCGGCCATGCTGTACCCAGTGTAGATGGAGAGATCAGGACAGCCGCTGACCTGGGCATGCAAGACCTCGTTGATAGAGCTAACGCGGTAGCAACCTCTCTGTCGGTGGTGACAGCAGCCCTCTTTGTCAGCTCAACAAGCAATTATTCGGCCACCCAAACACGGGTGTCCCGTCTCAGATGTATAAGGACGTCTATAATGAGATCGTCAACAGAGTAGGTTTCCTTGCCTCGTCGGATATAGACTATTCGAGTTTGGCCAGGCTCATGCACTTGGAAGATACGACGTGTTCCCACGTATAGGAAGTGCTATTACTGACGCCATCGGTAGTCAACCTGAGCTAACTCGTGAGTGAGGGCATCGTAACAGTACCCAAATTGGTGTCCAATTTAGCGGTAGAGCCCTCCGGTGTGAACGGTGTGTTCATCCCTGTCATCGAAGCTGTGCGCGCCACTTGCGGTGACTGTTGCCGTCGCCCTGTCACCCAGGGGAGCTCTTCCTCAAGCAGCTTCCTTGACGTTGAAGGTACGCTATAGTTGGGTATTTAGTGTGGTCCCTTGTGGTGAGCAGATACAAGCTGTTTGAGGAGGGTCCTCGCTGAAACGTACACGGCCTATGCCGAGGCCTGGATCGGCATCTCTTCGGCTTTGCACGAGATCATGGCGGCCTAATTTCATCATTATCTCGATTTCTTTCAACAACAATATCAACCAGTATCAGATTATTCTATGCCATTCGATTTCTCTGACGCGAAATGTTGCGTTGTTGAACATTCTAAATTGGTCAGTAGCCGGACTGCAGACCCATATCTGAGTCTATGAGGAGGTTGCAGTACTGCTATTCGAACTAGGGCCTCTGGTCACACCTCAACGCAAATCACGTGTCGAGAGTTGCTTTCTCCAGCCTGTGGTGGTTGCGTGATTAGCGTTTTGCGCTTTATTGCGAATCCATCAGTCGGCACGTTTTTGAAATGATCAAAATTTGAAATTTTGAGAAACGCACTGAAAACAGCCGGAAAATCGAAGTTCTCGGAATGGTGGGATTCGAATTGAAAGTGTGTTAATTATTGACGATTCGGGTAAACATCAAATTGTCCTGAAGATGCTGTGGAGATGTACTGAACAACATAAAGAGCCCTTCGTGACTGGATCGGTTTCACGGGTTTTTATAGTATGACTGGGAAATAGCTTTAGATTCATATCCGGTTTGAAACTGTATCACTCGAGAGACTACCCAATTGAACTCGAATTGGACCGAGCCGTTATCACTAATAAGTTAACCCATCCACACACAACTAAATTCACGGAGTAGATGAAAATTATGATGTAAAAAGTCAAGAAGGATTAGTCCGGATCAAGAAGCAGTGGCCATTGATCTACACCTTCCAGAAATCTATTTGGCGACTGAGCCTACCGATTTAACAAATAAGACAATCACGTTCGCGGATAGGGACATCAATTTCATGATTAAGGAATGCAATTTCACGAAGGACATCAATTTTGGTAAGAGCTCCGATGATGACGATTAACGCTGTGCGGCCCCATAGACTATTCCTCAAGAGTAGCGCAACTCCACACAAGACTGAAATTCAGTCACTGAATGACTTGAGGCTCCTTGAGGAATATTTAAGGCGTTACTCAAGGTAACACAACTTGCTACCATGAAACAAGCCCGGAGATGGAGTGTGTGCAGGGATACTAAACTCCTAACAATAGAACTCAATATACGACAAGTGAACAGAGGTAGCCTTGCACGACAGTGGACATAGAATGGACCAAAACATATCAGAATAAGTTACATTAAAACTATGATTACGAACTACGTATGAGCTACAACTAGCTCTAGCTTTGGAGCACCTCAGCACGCAGAAACAATTGTGTTCGGACCGAAAATTGGGGACAAGGAAACAACGTGGCACAATGGTTTAGCCACTGGCACAACATGTGCTATGTGTAAAATTGACAGGCGCGCGAATCGAACCTTCGCTCACCGGGAGACAGGCGTGAACTTCCCTGTCTCCCCATTTAGACATTCGAAATATCTTTATGTCCATCATTCCAGAAGTGTTGTGTCGGCAGCCTCCATCAGCAGCCTCTGGAGTATCGGAGCATTCGGGATGGAATGGACGTCATCATGTTATCTTTTCCAAAGACAACGAGTGCTTTACCTATCACGGTCGTAGCTACTTTGACAGGCCGCGTAGTGCCTCTGGTTTGCACCAAGAAGCAGCAGGAAGGGTTATGTAAGCCAAGCTCTCTATGGAGTCTATTCGGTGTAGTCTCAATGATAAGTGTGAAGGGAACATTCGGACATGGTCAACTATATGTGTCGGTGACAATATGAAAATTGTGAGAGGAAAATTTTGGGGAATTCTCGTTGGTTTCTGTACAGTTCTACCCGAATTCATATATAAACTCAGCGGAGAAAACTATAACGAAGACAATAATGGAGTATTACCCTAGTGATATGAACACACTAGTGTAAAACATATTTCCCCACTACTGCATATCACCGCGAATATCGCGCTTTTTCACGTAAAACGGGTCGTTAAACTCGCATAAATATAGCGATAACTATCGAGCTCAGCTGAGGAAAGCGAACTTCCGTTGTAAGGTACCCCACGTGGCGACTAGACTGCATCATCCCGGGATCAGACCTATCCAGAATTTGCCTTCCCAAAGCGAAGAAGGCGTACAACTCCAGAGGGCTGCAACTGACGCCATCTATGATACTCAAAGAGGGCCGTTGGGACCACCGACATACTGTGGTATTTTCTAAGGATAACGAACATAATCTTCCGAATCAAAGATCATATTTTGATCGCCATCGGGAGCCGCTGAACTTCTCCACTCATCCGTCCTTGAATGATGGACTGCAGTCAACTGGGCTGAAGCCCACTTGGAAGTTACCTCAAGAGGGTCAATCCCCGAGCAAGTCTGGTAGTGAGCTCTCTAGTAGATGTTGTTGGTCATTGTTGTTATCATCGCAGTTTTCCGTTCATCATTTTACGAGCCTTGTACCTCCGAACCACCATGGCTCGACCGTCACCACATTCTGTTTAGCAAAGGCAACCCTACTTTCGGGAAGAACCTCCGTAGTTACTTTGATAGGTAGGATCAGTTCGAATCTGCAGGGCAAGAAAAATTGCCGATTTTCAGGCCCAGGGAGCTCTCAGTTACTCCACTGAAGGACTCTGTAGGGAACCCCACAGCACTTGTGTTTTCTAGCATATTTTCAGGGCGCTGATGATCCCACATTTCCTCGTCAACTGGATGTGACTTGGAGTCTACCACCAGATGGAGAGAAAATCAAAAGAGAACAGGTGAGCATTGTTGCGTGTAGTAAGGACATATTATGATGGAGTTTTCACCAGTTTTATGGGAAAAGGCGTAATACTCTGTGAGAAAGCCAATATTCGCGGTGATATGCAGTAGTCGTGAAATATTACTATGTAATAACATTGCTAGAAAAAATAGTATTGATATTGTTGTAAATATTTTCATATCACTTATGAAACTCCATTGTGTCCTGGTCAGGCCAAGATTGCGGATTTCTTTCATCCTCCTGGAGTAGTTTGGATACCTCTTAAGAAGGAGAGAGCTGCGGCTCATTCGTGAATCAATGAACTTTATCAAATTCAGCGTCACATGAAATGTTCCTTTGTTGTTGTGATCACCAAAATGCATGTTGGGTTGGCCACCAGTAGTAGTAGTAGTAGTAGTAGTAGTAGTAGTAGTAGTAGTAGTAGTAGTAGTAGTAGTAGTAGTAGTAGTAGTAGTAGTAGTAGTAGTAGTAGCAGTAGTAGTAGTAGTAGTAGTAGTAGTAGTAGTAGCAGTAGTAGTAGTAGTTGCTGTTGTTGTTGACTATGGATCTCATTACTTCGGCAACATCTTACACGGCCCTCCATAGGGGGGTACTGAACACTCCAACAGAAGCGCGAGACATCCATGGTAACTGCTTGGAAGTTGCGAGAAATGTGGTATGATATTAAGCAGTTAAATATCCTCCTAAGTTCTCAGCAAGATTCCAATACGACCCTCCGGTGCCTACTGACGCTCCTCAAGGGGGCGTGAGGATCTACAGCACTAAACCTGGTAATGCTAGGGTACTACGCATCAACAGTGTCGGAGAATGCTTTCCAAATGCTGAACGACATGTGGTAGCGGCAATTTCACGAGATGCGGATTGATTTTTAAAGTCGTATGTAATTAGAAACTCCTGAGCGACCAGATATTCAATATTACGATATATGTTCGCTTCCCTCAGCTGAGCTTCGTCGGGTTAGAAATCTGCAGACACCAGCAATAATTTTTTCCCGAAATTTTCATGACACATGTGCAATGTTTACCACACTGCTTTTTACGGGAGGTCTTCACTCAGGTGTGGTATCACGGGCGGACCCTTTAGTGCCTTGTCGAGACCGCAAAGGTGATAAATTCAACCCCACCTGTTATGACTCATAATGTTAAAGTCGTTGATGATGTTATTGCATCACTAGTGTTGTGTTGGTTTGCCTTGGGGGAGAGGTACTGTACGTAGATGTTTTCCTGTTTATGCCGCAACTGAGTTCAGAAGTTGGAAACACCACGAGGACGACTCTGAAACCTGAAGGGAAGCGACAAATGAAAGCTGTTGATGAGCTTTGGAGGAGTACTTCTGATGGTAGTCTAAGGCTCGGGAAGGACCATGCGGAGGCTAGTGGCAAGAAAATGCAGGTAGAAATAGGGTTGGGGGAATATATGTATATCACTCTTCTCAGCTGATCTCAGGAGTTTCCTAACTGGTTATAGATGTGTATATACGAACTCGGGTAGAAGAGAATTTCCTCGCAAGTTTCATATTGTCACCAACCCATTTTTCCCACCACACTGGCACTTGAAAATTCCAAGGCTCGACCTGATAGTAGATAAAGGTATGGCGTATCTGGTAGTGGCAATTTACTTGTCGCTGATATGAAATAGCATGACGGTGGCTATGTATTATAGAACTGTGAATATTTCGATAGTATTCATTAGTGATAAGCAGCAGCTGTTTCATTATCATCATTGGCGTCGTGCGGTAGGGCGATTCGATTTATGTAGCATTTCTTATGTTTCAGGTTGTGGAGGATATCCCCATATCGTCGTCGTCTTCATCCCTGCATGCGTTGGAAAGGGAGACCTCAAGAGTCTGTGCTAAGCATCATACACTTATGAAGCGGCTTAGGGTGCTGGGCGTGCTGGGCGATAAGCACCGACGCTACTTGAGGGAAATTGAAGTGTAGTAGAGGAGTGTTGGAGGAATATATGTTCGCTTTGCTGAGGAGTTTCCTAGCAATTTATAGAATTTAGGTAGAAGTAAAATTTGCCAAAATTTTCATATCGTCACCACCTCATGTAGTTGACCATGTGCATATCTTTACACACTTGTAGAGTCTTCGGGAATTTATTTCTCTGGAGTTCCATCACTATTTATGAAACTTACGTGTACAAGTCTGCGAACACCAACGAAAATTTCCCAAAATTTCCCGAAATTTTCATATCGTCGTCAACTCATGTAGTTGACCATGTGCATATTTGTAGTAGAAATTTTTTGAATTTATTTTTTTCTCTGTTAGATTTCAAAGTAGTGTGCATGAGGAGGTCAACGCTTTGAATGAGCGTCTCGAGAGTATCAGGTCTGAATCAGTTCAGCTGAGCCTAGAAGGGGGAGAACTAACAAGAGTTGTTGGTGAGAAATCCATCGGTCCCTCGAAGAAAGCGTCTGTCGATGAGCTTCCATCGAGAGCAATTGCTATACCACTCCTCCGTGACGTCTATGGAAGAATACCCCAAATCAAGGAGATAAGGCGTAGGATGTCTTCCTCAAGTAGCGTCCATTCTTCGAGTAGTAGTCATCCTGAGGAGAGGGCCCATCGTCTTGGTAGATGGTCTCGTAAGTGGAATGTCAGTGTGGCCGACTTTGATGCTGCTGGGGTTGTCGTGATGACTCCTCTCGAGGCCCTTAGGAGGGTCCTGGAGGTCCGCTGTGGGAGCCTCGATAGGGCCTATCAGGCGCTCGATAGTAGTGGTAGTGGTAGGGTATCTAAGGTTGAATTTATGGAGGGGTTGGGGGCTCTGGGCATCCCTTGGGCTGATGCTACTGGTATTGACGCCTTTGAGGAGCTCTATGGGTTGTTGGTCGGGGGGGAGGAGGAGGGGGAGAGTGATGGGATGAGCTTAGCTGGAGTGTTGGGGGTATGCCATCAACAGCAGCAGCAGGGGAAGATGAGTGATGACCAGAAGTGGTAGTAGGGTTGGGCTCAGCAGTACTAGAGTATCCTGTTTGTTATATATATGTAACCAACGTAGTAGTAGTGCAGTAGGTGAGGGAAACTATGCTCTGCAAAATCTAACTTAGTTATGATTATGAGGAAATCAGCTTAGGGACAAAACGTAGTTGATCGATAGTTCTACAGATAGGTGGAAGGGTGGGGGCAATAGGATTTCAATCTGGACTTGTACTCAATGAGAGCGCTACCAGTGGCTTGGTTGATGATAAGTGGGTTGATTTATTCGTCACCGAAATCGGCTTGGAAGGATTGAATTGTGTGACAACTCTTGGAACAGATCGGAATATGTTGAACTCATTCAGGATGAAGGGTGTTAGTGATATGATGCCTTCCGCAGCGGGCTCTAGAGAAGCCCTCAACAGAGCTCGAGCTCGGAGGTTGTCGGGGGACAGGTAGGTATAGTGATGATGAAGTGTGAGGGGGTGTATATGCATCATCTGTTAGGACGGCCGCGTGGTATGCTAATGTTCCGTCACCATATGTTACTCTGGCTAGAATACGTGCTGTAGAGACTTCGAGGCACTTCGTCAAGATGCGGTATAGGAGTGGGGATCATAGCGTTTCGGAAAAGTAAGTTTTGTGAGTAGTGTAGTGGCTTTTCAGTGTGTAAGGTTAGATATGTTCTTCCCGAAATTGCCGCGAAAAGTGTGCAGCAAGAGGCAGGACAGGAGATGCAGAGATCGCGGTTCCGATGTGATGCTCTGTTGAAGGATCTCGACCGTTGTAGAAAGGAACTAAAGAGGACCAAGGATCAATTCCATGTGAGGAGGATGTTATGTTGGCGTTTTACCCGTCCTTGTGAAAAACGCGATATGAAGTGAACTGAAAGCACTTACAGCAAATAATAGGGGAGAAATAACGACTTATTACGTGAAATATCACTCGTTTAACGCGTTATTCACTGGGGTGAAATGTGAAATATGTTCTCACCAGTGTTGTGTTTTGCATATCACGGCAACTCCATTTGGTCGGATGAAAGTTCAAGACAAAATGGTATGGCATTTATTGCTGTTCAGGACGCCTTGGTTGCCTCCCAGGACTTCAACTGGAATGCCAATAAGAAGTCCTACTTCGCCTCCTTTGAAAGTCTCTCTGGTTAGTTCGATTGTCTCAGGTTAGCGCATCGAGATGATAAAGGAGGACACGCGGCCACACAGAAGGGCAAAAGTACGGCTTTCGGCCCTGAGGAAATTGATAAGGTGCGCGCCGACCACTCAATGGAGTTCACATTTCACGGTTGATCGATTTTTGTGATAGAGAATTTTGCGTAGATTCAGAATATGTGATCATTTTTGTTTTCTTATCGAGTGTAGTAGCCTTGGAGGCAATTATGTATTACAACTCTTTTCGTTGTAGGGGGAGAGTTAGAGAATTAACAAGTATGCATTGAAAGGCTAGGCACGGGGAATCGATGCTCAGTTTGGATTCAGCTTATCGGTATTTTGACTTCGTGACGCAGTGTATAGTCGTATCATTCTCTTATGCTGGTAGAAGTACTCGAATTGTACATACAATGGAGTTTCACCACCCTAGTGATATGAAAAACAACACTAGTGGAAAGCATATTTCACGACTACTGCATAGTGCAGATTTCGGGTTTTTCACAGAATATTACGCCACTTCACGTAAAACGGGTCGTGAAACTCGAACGAATCACATGAAATTTGGTTGGCACTTAATTTTCTTGGGAGGCTACCCGTGTGCAGGTACGCATCTTTGCTGACTTAGCAGCAGAAGTATCACCACGAGAGAAGGCTCTGAGGGAGGCCGCGAAAATGTATAGAATCCCACTTTTTGATGCGGAAAATATATGGAAAAAATTCAAGAAAGTATGCGACTTTTTTGTCGGCGTCATGCGATGGTTGGGTACTTTAGATTTGCGCTGAAGGCTCATCTACGATGACTAAAAAAGAGTTCGAGATCCTTCTACTACAGCTTCTACGGGTAGGTTGAGGAGATCGGGCTTTTTGAGAAAACGTATAAAGTCTTGAATCGGGGCTTTCACTGCTGCCGTCCAGGTGAGTGGATCGTTATTTGTTTTTGACCCACTTATGTGAGTATAAACGTTTGTTGTTTCTATGGTGAGCTACACTACGCTAGATTTGTGAGATAATGAGATGAATTATGCCTAGGAGAATATTCGAAGACTACGAGAGTCAATTCCGCAATTATATTATATTCAATTAACGACGGAATAAGACATATCCGTTTTGTAACGCTATCTAGTTGATCTTGGAACTCTCGAAATCGATTTGCTCGTGTTGTTGTTCAGGTGGCGGCCATTCGCCCTAGTAGGTTGGACGAATGGTGGCGTAGTTTGGATCGCCATAAAAAGGGTGAAGTTGGTTTTGTTGAGTTCCTCCGATACTATTGGACTCGCCTTCGTGGGGTCTAACATGTGGATGCTGCTCATTGTTGTCCTTCACCAGTGTCTGTTGTGTTCATTGAAGGCTCATAATGGGGAGTTTATGATACATGTCGTTACTTGGGTGAACTGTTGTGACCGCCGATGCATAACTAATATCGCACTGCTGCTGATACATGCGTGTGATAGAGTAACTCGGGTTCTTTAGCGGAACGGTTAGTATATTAAACTACCTTGGCAATGGTTCCGGGTTCAAATCTGGGTAATGGTATAATGCATCGTATCATCACGTTAGGGCCAAGTTGTTTGCGAGCATGGTAGCCCCTTCACAGCCACCACCAGAGGTCCTCAGCATAAAGCCTGTAGTCCCTCCACACGTATTAGAATCATTACTCAGCTACAAAAGCAAGGCCCTGATCAGCCGAGGTGAGTAGTAGTCGATACACCTTTGGCCACCTTTGGATTCTCCCTGCAGTGCCCTTATCCAAGGAGGCCCTAAGGAGGATATCTTTCGAGGCTGAGGCGTTGTCGGCTAAGCTGGCCAGTGAGGCTTTGGCCAGCAGTAGAAAACGAAGGGAGGCAACTATAGCTGATCACGACAGCGAGGTCAGGTCTTCTTGATGTCCATTGTCACTATGCTTCTGGTTTAGATGGTATCAGAGGTGGATGCCGCCGAGGAGGACGATTTAATGCGAGCTCTGGCAGGAGGAGAGAAGGAGGCTCTCTCTGGAGAGGTAGGAGTCCCACCGTCATAGTTTGGTTCCTAGGTTGGATCTTAGCAACGGGTGACCCTAGAGGACGTCATTGTTGCAGCCAAGGCCCTGGGCTTGGCCCTACCGTTGCGGGGTCGTGCTGAATCCTGAGCCGATCTTGATGGGACTGTTCTCTCAGACTGTTATCATTCACTATTACTATTGTGACAATTCATTGAAAATTTCAAACCCTCCATGCCTTGAGCTCTCTGTTCAGGCCAGTTGCCTCCTTCACCCGTCGTTGTCAGTCTCCTGTTGGGACGTCACCCCACAGTTCGCATGGCTCTACCACAATGTAAAGTAAATGCCATACGCGAGGGCCTCCTATGCAAGGTAGCAGACCATCCTCGAGTGTCGAGAGAAGCCGTCACAGTGTCAAGCTTGTGGGCGAGAAGTGAAGGCAATGCTAATGACCAAAGTTGATGAGGAGCACGTTGGTAAATTGGAACTGTCGGGGTTGCAGAACGAGGCCGCCTTCGTTGATGGAGGCGTAGACTGGTGAACACGAAGCGCCTCCCCGCCGCTACTGTAGGTTTCGTATTGCACAATTTACGTACGATGCGTTTGCCAGTTGGGGGTTTCCTGATGGGACTTGACAACACAGGCAAAGCACGAGAGGTATGACACGGTATGACACGAAAGCCGAGATCGGGTAAAACGCCGGTTACATACACGAAGTGACTACATAACTCGAAAAGGGTGCATTTCCATACCGTTATATTCCCCGAGAAAGGTGAACATACTTTTGTCATGATTTGATCGGTTTCACTGGTTGTTATAGTATGACTTGGAGATAGCTCTAGATTCATATCTGATACCATAACTTCGGTAATTTATAGGATATCACTCGAGAGACTACCCAATTCAACTCCAATAGGACCGAGCCGTTTTGAATCTCAACTCATCTGTTATCGACTGACACAATTGTGGCGACGACTCGACAAAGACGGTTCAACGAACTATGCTAGCGAAGTTCGCTGAGCGAAATCATCAGACTATTGATGATGACTGGATGATTCAGACTCATTAGAGGACGACTATTATCAAAAGTCTGACACTTCAAGAGCTCCCTGTCACTCTATCGAGAAATGAAATCTCAAATGCAGCAATTACCACCAAGTACGATGTGAAAAAGTGGAGCATATTAAAAGCTAGTGATCGCATAGACAAATGCACTTTTTTGCGGGAACTGAAAGTACCACACACTGGCACCACCAATCACAGCCACCAGGACAATCAGCGGACTGACAGGGTATCGGGTAATCCTTGACACGACGTAGAACAGGAGGTTGGTCAGCGTTGGTTAGTAGAGACCACCAGATGAGAGTGATCAGCAGAGTATATCCTCGAGCCATATAGGTGTCACAGTAAGTGGATAACTAGTTGACAAATAAGGCTCAACAAAGTCCCGCAGTGGTACATCAACAACTAGCCTCATCAACC